GTTTTTAGGGGTAAACCGTATACATCCGGGTAATTATTCAATCTATCACTTCACATTCCTTCATTTCTCTAATTTGCAACTGGGTAGAAGTAAGAACTGGTTTTTATCTATATTAGTGTATAAACTCCTTATATTTTCCCCCCTTATTTTTGCATTCCTCAAATTTAAATTTTAGAACTTTTAGTTTACTAGCTTCATTGAAATCTTGAAACAAAGATTATTGCAGTGTATGAAATTTGTAATTTTTCAATTGTTTTTCCATTTAAAAGACCTTGATTATGGTTTCAATCACCATCCAACGATACTTATTTTCCTTTGTTCTTCAAATTGAATTTTAGTTATGCCTAGATTGGCTTATGCTTACATGTTTCAGAAAATTATACTTTTTTACCTAGATCGCAAATGGGATACTCTCCCTTTGAACATTTGTTGGTTTTCGATACATAAATTCAATTTTATCGATTTATAAGTTTTTAAAGGGTATGGGTGTAGAACAACAAACAAAATATATAAATGGAATATAGAACGTTTATATGTTATGACACAGATATCGGTATTTCAATACTGATATTATTTTCTTTGCTTTTTCTACAGAAGTTGATCTGAATGGGTCTTTTGCATTCTGCGCCAATGTTTTGACATTTGACAATGAAAGACGAATTTTTCATAATTGGACACCTGTGACGTATCAGAACTGGAATCCAAAGGACGAGGGTGAGACGGCAGTTGATCCTATCTTTGGCCTCCTTTTGACTTATCATAACGACGGTAGGTGGCGCTGGGTTACTAAAAGGAATTACACGTACTATACAGGAGAAGAAGGACTAAAACTTCCCTTTATTTGTGAGGATTCTCCGTTTTATTTTGAGCCGGAAGAGTGTTCTATTACGTAATGTTTCATTGTTTTAAAATGAAAATAAACTTTTGCTACCATTATATTTTTATCATTGAAAAAATGCAGTGTTAGACTAGTGAGTAAAAATGTTAATAATTGAATGGAATCTTCTAAATTTTATTTAGTTCATTTGTTTTCTTGGGAGAGATTTATCCTCAAGTTTTTAAATAAACTTCGGATAGCATGAAGACAGAATGCATATTGTGGCGTCTCGTTATCTTCGCACTTTTTCAGGGAAACTTACATTCAGATCTCTTCTTTCCAAACGTAGAAAATAATATCTAACACCAAGTGTTATTATAAAGTTTTGTGCACCCGTAATCGAAGATTCGGGGCCATATATATTTTGCTCTGACCGTCCGTCTGTTTTTTCTGTCTGTCTGTCAGTTTATCTGTTTGTCTGTTAGTCCGTAAAATAAAACCTTTAACCTTACCCATAATTTTTGATCGGTTACAGAATGGTTTTCTTTCCTTTCAGGTGTATTCCATGCGAAAAGACCTTTCTTAGGGTTTAAATATTTTTGACATTTTGAACTTGATCTAGGTAAAATACCAAATATTAACCTTGGTCAAATCTATCGAACGGTTAAATCAGGTACATGTAATTGCATGCACCACGTGTTCATTTCTTTTGACAAGACCTCCTCCTAGGTACCAACAATATTGACCATTTGACCTTGACCTTATGAGTTTGACCTACTTTTGAAAAACTTTAACCTTGGCCGTAATTTCTGAATGGTAAGTGCTAGGGCTTTAATATTTCACGGCTTTATTTCTTGTGGCAAGAGCTTTTCTTGAATACCGACATTTTATACCCTTTGATCTTGACCTCAGACTTTGACCTCTTTTAAAAATCTTCGGTCATTAATCTTTAATGGCTGATTCTAAAACTTAAGTAATTCACCTGTGTATTTCTTCTGAAATTCATTCGTGTACTGTTGATTTTGGCCTTTTGGCCTGACAATTTTTGACTAACTTTTGAAAATCTTTAATTTTGGCCATAATTATTGAACTGTTGGTGCTTTTATAGCTTTTAGATTTCAAAGGTGAACTCATTTTGACAAGATCATTTTTTTGAGTACCAACAATGATGATCTCTTGACCTTGACCTTAGAGTTTAACTTGCAAATGACAACCTTTGCGATAAGCGGCCATACGAGGGCATCATTTTTCCCCCAAAACATCTTGTTGTATTAACATCAGCTCCTTAAAAAAACTTTTTCTCTTTATTGGACTACAAGTACCAAACTGCAGTCTATATATATATATATATATTTTTTTTTTTTTGAAATATGTATCATAGCCCATACACCGCATAACAGAGAATGAATTGTCTTAACACAGACTTAAGCATTGAATCATTTTTTTTTTTAAAATGTTGTCTCATAATATTAACGGTGAGTGCAAACAAATTGATTTGTTTGTCTGTATGTTGTTTAACGTCCCTCTCGAGAATTTTTCACTCATATGGAGACGCCACCACTGGCCGGTGGAGAGCTGCAAATTTTGTCCTATGCTCGGCACTTAGGGCCATTGAGCAGTGAGGGATCTTTTTCGTGCCAGCACCTACTGCGACACGGGACTTCAGTTTATACGGTCTCATCCGAAGGACCGGTCTCCACGTCCCACAGTGGGATTCGAACCCGCGACGTAAGGATCAAGTCCTTACTTCGCGACTCTAGAGCAGACGCTCTAACCACTGCGCCACGCGGGCGACCAAACAAATTGAGAAACGCGAGCTACGCAGCACAGTTAAGGTGTCAAATGGAAATATCGGCGAATTTTTTAGATAGAAAATACATTCTTTACAAGGATGGGCATTTCTTTTTAGGACTTTACTATTATCGGACAAATGCAATGTGGTTGAAAACTAAATGTTGAGGACGATTAGATTTCTTATTAAAACTTGTCACGTAATGTGGCAGTCACCAAGTTAAAAATCTAAGTTTAACATATAATTATTTTCAGCACTCTTTGTAGTTTGTGAAAAGTGCTGCGAACCTATATAGATTCTACTATCTAACTGCTAAAATTACATTTGTTAGACCGTATGTTGAATATTTATCTTGTCAAGTACATTAAATATAGATATAATAAATTCATTTACAAGATTTCGACAGGTTCGCAGCACTTCTCAAATATCTTCATACTTCTTGAGTTTATGTGTAAAAGCTTGTCATAATTCATCGAGGGTATGCCCTTGCAATATATCGATTTATTAAGACCCTTCTATTACCCTTCAATGAATCTGCATACAAATATACGACAGTATCGCTTGTGTAGGGAATGTACGGGAAGTATATGAATAAAATCATAAAACAGACATCGCATCCAAGTTAACGGCCTCTTATATATCTACAATTTATATTTTATTTAATTACAAAATACATTTTCATTGTATAAATATAACTTGATCCGCCTCTCACTGCATACAAACTGCGTCAAATTTTTCGATATGATGTCACATTGACAAGTGCATTGCGATCAGTGAATTGTTTATATATTGCTGTGTGGGATTTAACTAACGACAATAATGCATGCACTAGTTAGTATTGATGTAGTTTAAACCTATTCTTAAATTTATGATAGCAAATCATTTCATTTTGTGGTAATTTGAAGAACTTATATTTTTGTGTGATGTCATAGTAAGCATTTCCCGTATAAATTAGGCCCCGCCTCCTTACTGCAGCCTTAACTGTGCTGCGTAGCGCTTGATGAAAATTTGTTTGTACACACAATTGCTGATTCGAGACGGCATCCTTCAAAAAATAATGAATCAATGCGTATATATACTTTTTTTTACTCCTCGCCTTGCTTCTTTTTTTAAAAAAAAAAAAAAAAATATTTGTATTATCCCTCGGGTAGATTACAATTAATAGAAGTAAAGGTGAATTTTGATTTCCGCTTATGATATTGCACTAACACGGCGTTAAACATTTGTGACGTCAAAATTAAATGCGTACTATAACCTTTTGCGCCTCCCCCGTCTTTGTTATTGTGTTTTGAATGCGTAGCTATCAACACATTTTATAAACAAAATACTTGTAAAATGTAAATATATCTATCTGTGTTTCAACCCGAACAAAAATTACAGTGACGATATTAGTCTTCGATGACGGATCTTGTACATTCAAGAGCGGAAAACTCTAGTTTTTATTCTTTTTAAATGATTATCTGTAGCAATAAAAGATATTTATCTTCAGAAAATGTGATGTTTTGACTCATTTCATAACATACCCTTGCTTAAAACGTTAGACCTCTAATACGTAAGAATCTGGCATCATTGCGTTTCTTGCCAGAAAAAAAAAATAAGCCAAATAAATATATTAATGGTATAATTCAATTTGTAGAAAGAAATATGAAGTACATCTGACGTCAAATATTTAGCTCATTTTTTTTCCCACAAAATAAAAATGGAACAAGAGCATCCAAAAAAAGCAAATATTGTTATGTATATAAAGTATATTAAGTATATAATGGATTATGTCTGCTCATCCATTCAAAATATGCATGCATGAAAAAAGATGAGGGATATCTCTTTAGAGAAGCATAATCCTGGATATATTGTACTGCGGAACATGAACATCAAATGTAACTAATTATGATTAGGTTATAAAATATCTTGAATACAATGAAACCTGTTTTATCCGACATGCACTGGGAGAAAATAAACATGATGTAAGATTACACAGTGTAAAGATAATAGAAATGAGTAGAAATGAGAATGAAATTCAATGTCGGAATTCACAGATTGTACAGGTGTCGGAGAAAACAGCTTCCACTGCAATACTTTTTATAATAGAACAATCTTTATCCCAATTATCCGTCAAGGCATCTTCATGTGGCAGTGTGGCAGTGTTTGTAAATAAGAACGAAATATTTCTAATTTCAAATTTATTACAACACATATCATGTACAGCTTTAACTGGGTACATTTGGTAAGGAAAATTGATAAAACATTATTGCTTCAGCAAACAGTTTAACCACAAAACCCCCTCAAAACACAATCCTTTACAAGTTATCTCTCTTAATATATAACATTATCAAAAAAAAAAAAAAAAAAAAAAAAAAAAAAAAAAAAAGAATAGAATCCCATGATAAATTTAAAATTGTCTCTCTTATCAGAAATGTTTCATTTGATCGTCGTCAATTTGAGGCCTGGTCTCTCAATTTTGAATGTCCATCTGTTGTAAGTAAAAATAAAATGATGAAAGTATTAAATAATGTTTAAGAGAAATAAAAGGGTATATTTTATAAAAAAGAATAAATAAAAGAATTAATTAATGTTTTATGAAAAAAGTAAAAGAATTTAATAATGTTTCAGAAAAAAAGGGCATGTTTTATGCTTTTACGAATATTCTAATAACCGTTTAAAATGTTCATGGAAATACCAAATATTAAATACGGGTTTTAAGATTGATTGTTGTTTACCTAGTGACGTTTTATTAACATCATGGTCTGCCTCACATTTGTCCCACTCTCTACTTTAGGCCACCAAGGATACCACCAGTCTGCCGGGGACCATTGACCGTTGAGGAAGGCCAAGTGACAGTAGTTAAACCACCAGCCTCCTCTACGGTAACTGTTAGCAGCACAGTTATAGCTAGCCCTGTCGTTATCCTTGTCTGGTGTACTGAAGTACATCCCAGACAGATCATTGTTAGAACTCCCCGTGTTTAACATTCTGTCACCTGTAGAGAAAATACATCACAGAGATCATTGATTGATTCATTTAAGCATTGAATCATTATTTATGCAGGATATAGTCTCATAATTGCAACAGTATTTGCAAACGAATTGAGTAACGAGCTTTATCGCTTATATTATTTTACATTTTTAACTCCTTGCATTAACTGAAAATTTGATTTAGATTTCAAATTCCCTGTATTATCCTTAGGGTAAGTTACAATTAATAGAAGAGATATTGCAACAGTTTCTGTTTAATGTGAGCGCGAATTTTGATTTTGATTTTCACTCCTGACGTAGCACTTCAAAGGCGTTCAACGTTTGTGACGTCAAAATAAAACGCATACTTTAACCCTTTGACCCCCTGTCTGTGTTATGGTGTTTTGAATGCCGTACCATTCCTCAGCAAAATACATTAGGAATGTAAATATATCACATTAATTTTATTGTCAATAATACTGAAGTACATGTAAGATAGACGGCTTCTCGTGCTGACTTCTGTAAATAGCGATACCATTTATAAAAAATACAATACAAAACGCTATGCAATTCATACAGCATCCTTTGTAATGGAACAATAACCCCCAGGCGTATTACAATTTTAAAGTATGATTAAAAAAAACGAAATATTTTTTTTTTTTTTGGTAAAGGTCACTGGAAATATTAGAACAATGAATATATCCATAATATATTAAAAATTGTTAACTGTTAGAGACCGTGACTTAAATATGCATAAAATGCAATACGAAGCAAATCATTCAAAATGATAACAAGGTAAGAAATGATGGTTTTAAAATATCAGATTTTCATTTAATATAGAATAGGTATTGTAAAAGTGAAATGCCCTGAGATGTCTTGAGTTCGGCTGTTTTAATTTGACTATGTTCCCGATCAAATAATTTTCTTTGAACATCAAGCTTTCATAAACATTTTGACATTACATATCAAATACGCACTGTAAACCTCCTAATCATTAGTAGATAAAAATGTAAATTATTGAAAATCATCAAGAAACTAAAGCTGAATAACAATAGTGGATCAAAGGAAGTTACTGGATATACACGTTACTGGATATACACGTTACTGGATATACACGTTACTGGATATACACGTTACTGGATATACACGTTACTGGATATACTAGTTACTGGATATACTAGTTACTGGATATAGTAGTTACTGGATATACACATTACTGGATATACACGTTACTGGATATACACGTTACTGGATATACCAATTACTAGGTATACAAGTTACTGGATATACAAGTTACTGGATATACTAGTTACTGGATATACTAGTTACTGGATATACACGTTACTGGATATACACGCTACTGGATATACGCGTTACTGGATATACTAGTTACTGGATATACACGTTACTGGATATACGCGTTACTGGATATACTAGTTACTGGATATACTACTTACTGGATATACTAGTTACTGGATATACTAGTTACTGGATATACTAGTTACTGGATATACAAGTTACTGAATATACTAGTTACTGGATATACTAGTTACTGGATATACAAGTGACTGGATATACTAGTTACTGGATATACTAGTTACTGGATATACTAATTACTGGATATACTAGTTACTGGATATACACGTTACTGGATATACTAGTTACTGGATATACACATTACTGGATATACTAGTTATTGGATATACTAGTTACTGGATATACTAGTAACTGCATAAACTAGTTACTGGATATACTAGTTACTGGATAAACACGTTACTGGATATACACGTTACTGGATATACACGTTACTGGATATACTAGTTACTAGATATACTACTTACTGGATATACTAGTTACTGGATATACTAGTTACTGGATGTACACGTTACTGGATATACTAGATACTGGATATACTAGTTACTGGATTTGCTAGTTACGCGGGTATGTTAAGGCTACACCCAGAGATATCCTACCTGCCTTTACAATATGACGTCATAGTAAGCTGGATGACGTGATTTTTACAAATAATGTTTTCTTAATATCTATATTTAAAGTTTAATTTCAGGTCTAAGAAATAAATGGAATCATTCAAAAACATAATATAAACTAAATCTTGTCGTTTTGGGGTGGTATAAATAGCTTAGTATTTATCACGGGGGTTAAATACCAAACTCATGACGTCATAACTATTGATCAAATATTTGCCGAGTGAAAATGAAATGTGACGAGAATTCATGTAAACAAATATATGAAATGGGAGTTTTAAATCATATACCTTGGACGTTATGTGTGATTCATAAGGAATTAAAGATTATGAATCAGGTACGCTTATATATTCTTATCATGTTTTCTTGTAATGAACACAGGCAATGCTTTGAAATCCCGATCAGCCTTTCCTCTGTCGCTCTATAACAACAAAGATGCAAAAGTTCAACACTACGCCGCATACTTTGAAACATAATTTTTGTTTGTATCGAAAGCTTATATTCTATAGTACTTGGAAAGTGCTGCTAGAATCGTGTGGTTAACATAAATTGATGACAATTCCTTCATCGTAAAAAAATTTGGTAAGGTTTCATGTGAAACTTTGGAATATTTTTTTCTGTGTTTGGAGAGTAGGATTCTAGCAGCACTTTTCATGGTCCAGTGCTGTTTTTACATAATTATTTTCACTAAAAGAAATGAATTATCCCCGGGGTAGTGTTGAACTTTTCACTTTTTCATAAAGGCATTTTTTCTATTTATAGACGTCACGTGATGACGTCGTAGTGGAGTGCTTCTTTTAGCCTAAGACTCAATGACGTCTATACAATGGATAATAAAAGAAAATGTTTTATCTATGGCTTTTCCTATTTATCAATGTTAAATTTTTCGGAAAAAGTCTAAATTCGCCGAAACATGATTTGTGTACTGCCTTAACGTACCCGCGTACTGGATATACTAGTTACTGGATATACTAGTTACTGGATATACAAGTTACTGGATATACTAGTTACTGGATATACTAGTTACTGGATATACTAGTTACTAGATATACTAGTTACTGGATATACTAGTTACTGGATATACTAGTTACTGGATATACTTCTTACTGGATGTACTAGTTACTGGATGTACTGGTTACTGGATATACTAGTTACAAATAATTAAACATAATTTTCTTAGTTTTTAAGATATATAATCTAAAATATCTACTACTTAGCAGTGACTAATTCAATGCCTGCGGAATTTGTGAATTGTACTCACAAATGATATCTTAAAATACAAAAAAAGAAGTTTGCTTAAAGCAAAATCAAAGACGTTTACAGAATGCTAAATAAACATTATATGCAAAGAATTATATGATGGTGCACTTGATTTTAACCCAATTTTCAGAACTTACCTAAAAAAAAAAACCACTTACCTAAGGTTCCTGTGGCCGGTCCTGCAAGAAAGAGTTGATAATTTTCTGATTCATCGGAGACAGAGAAGCGACCGTACAACTCATACAGCCTTGTACCATCGTGGAGAGTGATGGCAGCATAGAGGAATGAGTTGTTTTCTTTTGTTAACTGATGGATTATGTCATTTCCTGCATTAAGATATATTTAAAATCAACTGTAAAGTCTATTGCAATACATTTAATTCTATTTGAATATGAATATACCTTGATGAAAATCAAATTATTTTCTTAAGCTGTAGACACTAGTGCTATTTTTTGTCTCTTTAATACCATGCCACTAAGTGATTTTTAATTACCACTTGCTTTCATTATTTTCTCATTATTTAAGATACAAATTAAACAGGATAAGTGAGTATTGTCGAAACATACTACCCAGTCTTAAACCAAATCTTTAATACGCTTCAAATTTATATCGTAGCGGGTTATAGCCCTTATTTGAAAGTGATTTACACTTACCAACCCAGACGTCCTGTTCAGGTGAACCAAAACCATTCTTATATTCCGTCCAGGTCCTGTCAAAACTCAGGGATCCGTGTACGCGTTTCTGAATTGCCTTTGAAAATTAATATGTATAACAATACAATTCATTGGTTCGAAGAAGAATTGTAAAATCAATGTGCTATGATATATAAACTCAAAATATTCATATTTTTTTTTTAATTTTACAATCCTTTAAACAACAAGAACACTGACTGTGAATTATTTTTTGCACTTTTAATTTTGATATAAACTAGATACCGTCCATCCTCCGTCCATTGTCTCCATGTCGCAGTAAACTCTGACAGGACTGGTAATGGTGCCATGGGGGTAAATGTCATACACCCCTGTATCCGTGTAGCCATCTGCGTGAAGATCCTTACAATCTAAGGGAATAACTGAAAAAGAAAAAAAAACATACTGGAATCATATTATGCCTAAATACAGGTAGTGAGAGGATACATTATACCTGCAAGATATATTAAGGTTAATTGTAAAAGCTAAATTGTGAACTACAATGTAGATTATGTTAAGCTCTCCCTATTTACATGAAATTATTTTGGTTTTCTAATTGTTTCAGATCTTTAATCTATGATATGTTTAAAAGTTGTTTTTTTTTTTTTTTAATTTAATACAATTAATCCCAATACTCTGTTGATAATTCGGACATTATTTGTATTTCTTATAGGAATGTTAATGAGGAATACATTTATAGATCAGATGGTGTACCACGTGGACAGTGAAAGAGGACTTATGTTACTTCTAAAAAAACATGGCAATGATATCTTTTCTTTCAGCTGATATAAGGTATGTTAAAATGAACATTTCCTAAATTCTTAGGTCCGTACAATGACCTTGTTTTCAAATACAGTCTGTCGTTGTATTGAATTTAGACTGACGTCTTTAACACAGATTGTAAGGCCTTTATTTTCACAATGAAATGTCCACGAACTTTCCGGTTTTCCAGATCAGGACAGGGGTCACACGGTGGATCTGACCGGTAGACAAAGGGTGCTTACTACTGCATGGCGCAGGATTCTCCACCCAGCTTTCAGGACAGTTATTTGCAAGACAGCAATTTCGAGTTCCTATATATATATATATGGT